CTCGAAATAAAAAAATAATCATAAGGATCTAAATATTTAAGCGAACAAATTTATTAAAAATAGGTATCCTTCATAGATGGGTTTTCATCATTTTAAGATCAAGATAGCAAATACTCGAAATAAAAAAATAATCATTAGGATCTAAATATTTAAGCAAACCAATTTATTAAAAATAAGTATCCTTCATAGATGGGTTTTCATCATTTTAAAATCAAGATAGCAAATACTCGAATTAAAATATAATCATGAGGATAGTATTATTTTTATGAAATAAAATAAATTGTTTGCTTGAATATTAAAACACATTTCTTGTTAGTTAGTATAATAAAATTCAGCCATACCAAATACTTCTACTATAAATATGTTTATTGATTTCAATAAGTGTAGTCTTAACACAACACAATTAAACAAGGTTATGACAATTTTTCATATTGTGTATGTTCATGTTTTCTCAGTATTGCATTTATTATCAGAATAATCAATAGTAGCAAATACTTAATAAATACATCATAGAAAGTATATTTAACAGTGTTTTAAATTTGTCATTTCAAACTATTTCTACATGTGTAATCTCTCATAAATGGTTTTTCATCATGTTTTAGATTCAAGATAGCAAATACTCGAATTAAAAATAATAATCACAAAGATTTAACACAATCAAGTTTTCAAGAAGAAAAATTTAACACGTATCAACAAGTAACAGTTAAGTATAGACTAGTACAAAAGGCTGAGTCTGATACAAGTTGGTATGTATCACTAGCATACTTAAGTTTAACTTCTTTAAAGCTCAAAATTGGTCCTATACGCATCAATACACTCCAATTTCTTCCATGAAAAATATAAATATACTAATAAAATATGTATACAATGAAAAAATAATATTAATTCTATTTTGGAGTAGCTTATCCTTCCAAAATATTTAATTATAGGAATAATAAATTATACTTTATACCTAGTATCATAGTATGTATAATTTATTCCTCATATAATTTAATTTTCTTCATTTTAAAATTCAAGATAGCAAATACTCGAATTAAAAAATAATCATAGGAGATGGCTACACAAACTAAATTTAAAATAAAACATTTTTAATTAAATTTAAAATAAAACATTTTTAATTAAATTTAAAATAAAACATTTTTAATTAAATTTAAAATCGAAATTACTCATGTCCAATACAATACATTTCCTCAGTCATGATTTCTAATCATTACCATTGTTCAATAGTAGCAAATACTTATTTATGATAATCACTGGACAAATACTAACATTGTATAAATTTAAACTTAAAAATCAATATAAGGCGGTAATTTATGATATAATTTCCTCAGTTATTATTTTTAATCATTACAACCGTTCAATAGTAGCAAATACTTAAAAAAGATAATCACTGGAAATAAAAAAGGTAGGTGTGTATATTTAATGATATACCTAGGTACCCATTACAATTTGAATTGGTCCATTTAAGATTATTGTACATCTCGACAGGTACTTTCATCATATCATTTAAATTCGATATATGAGTGTTTAAAAGATGTTGTTTGATATACCCTCGCCAGTACGCTTAGATTTAATGTAAGATCCAAACACGATAAACAAGGGATAATTCTTTAATTATAAATATATTTTGGATTACATGGCAAATAGATATACATTAAACTAAATAAAATATCTTCGAATAAATTGTGTAATTCTAGTTAACTATTATCTTACTTGATGGCAATATCTCGTTGGGCTTTCCTCATCTCAGGTTTCATGTTCCTCTTGGCCAAAATATCAGTAAGAGATGCACCGACAATAGCACGTTGGAATTTTTGAGTTCTCCTGGTCTTCTTTTTGGTCGTTTCTTCTTCTTGACCCTTGCGATGCTTGCGCCTGAAATGAGAGTTAACATTAGTAACATTAATATATCCGTAAAATAAAAAGACAACATTCAACAATTGCTTACCTGTACAATATCGTCCATGTCACTTTACGGGGGTTCCTCTTCATTAAGTGAGCGCGCTCGCATTTTGAGTTAAGGAAAGTGAACGTCTGTGAATAATAAGATACAGTTATTTACGCGAAACACGCCACTTTATGACTCTATGGTCAGTAACTTAACAAGAAACATTAAGCACAGAAATTCGAAAAAACTCACCTTTCCGTCGGCTTTGATCATGGTTTTGCCATGTCCTGGGTAGATTTTGTACCCACTGTAGGCGCAGAGTCCGATCCTTTAAGTAAAAAACAAAAATAAATAAAATACAAGACATCAACCATCTGAGTTGGATAGTTTGGCGGTATATTTGAAAGCGATAATTCGACGTCCATAATAGTCGGACGAGCGAAAAGTAAGGTAATTATGTAGCACCAAGTAACGCCAAAAGCATTTGTCAACATGAAAAAACTGCAAATTGGTACCGATGTGAGATTAATATGGATAAAACTTACTTCATTTTGACAAATTTGTGAGAACTCCAACTATGGGTAAGAAGAAAATGATTATCAACTCAGCATACAAGTGTTGTGGCTCGGAAATCGGCACTGCAAAATGCAGTATGGTCAGGCATGAAGTTGGTTACGTGATACAGTGTCGCCAACGTGAAAAACTCTTGGTATAAAACCATAATAATATCATATTATCATAAACCTATGATAATTATAACTAAATTTTGGTCGGTCGTATGAAATGTTGTAAATTTAATTCATTATCAAGATTTTCAAGGAAGAATTTGGAGTGTATCGATACGTATCGAGGCAATTTTGAGCGTTCAAGAAGTTACACGTGCAGTATACAAGCGATACGTACCGAGTGTCTACCGACCCGTATCGGACTCGGATTTCGATACGAGGTGGTACGTATCGATACGTATCGAATTTTTCTTCTTGAAAATCTTGTATGTTTCCACGGGTCGAACAGATGGAATATCAAAATTATTGTGAAAATTCAAACGCAGTAAAATCATTTAAGATGATAATGACAAACATACGACGTGATTCAATGTAATTTTCAAATGTGCATTTTTATTTAATCTGATAACATAAATAATATTTGATACGCATTATCGTTTAAATCTTACGAATTCCGATGGCAGTAATTGAATATTATGTTATTTTATTAGTATTATTGTAATTGCGTTACGAGGGCACGAACGATCCTGAACAAAGTTATTGACACTTAAATACTTAATATTTGAATTTTAGATGTATTGAAATGTATGTTTGGTCAATTTTGTTAGTAAAGTTTCTAAAAGGTTAAATAAATTATTTTCAATTATTTTTATTTAAACTTTTAATGTTTGTAAAATTCTAAATAGTGTATTCTTAACAATGTTTGGCTTTGATCAGTATATTTTCAACTTTCAAGTATACCTACCTGGCTCAACTTCAGCAGTCAAATAGATATGCGTATTTCATAGGAATATTAAACTAATTATGACATTGAAGGAGTAGTAAAATTAATTTTTGGAGCAATTAGTATTTTAATAACGCCTAATTAAGTAATTCATTTATTATTTCAACAATTAAAATATTGTGTTGGTATTTTTTAAATATTCTCGAAAATAATTTTTTCTTTGAATTATATGTCCTTTTCTTTCTCTGTGGCATTATTAATATTCATTACAAACTGATTGTACCATTTGCATATTGCTTGGTCCTGATGTACCATGTTATATTGATGCAATAATATATACAACATTAGATGACCCTGTAAGATCCTGATATTTTGAACTTTATGCGCTATGAATTATAATAATTACCCATTTTACACTACACAGATTAAAACGACATACAATGTAAATCATAACATTTTGATGTCTACGTCCATATACATGTATTCTCACTATTAACATAATACATTTTTACAAAAATTAATGTTTTCACTGTAAAACAAATTATTCAGATATTCTACTGTATAATTAATTTTTGACTTTTTGAGTTTGACAGTGTACCTTTATCCTTTAATGTGAACAGTCATTACTCATTACCTAGTCATATCAGATATTGAGAAAAGATAACATACATATAGAATTGATTTTTTGTGATTGTTATAAGTTTATAATAAAATTTTATTCGTAAATGTTTTTATATAAAAGTTATTTGATTTTTTGCTTTTTTTTAAAATATTATATTACAATCTTAAATTGTGTACATATACAATAAATTAAAGATAAATATACATGGAGTAACATCAATGGATAGTTTCTCCGTTCCCACTTCCTGATATCTGTAGGCTATTAGTAATATAAGGCTATGTTTATAATACAAATTAATTTACAGATTATGTTTTACTTATTAAAATTAAAAAATAAATGTGGTCTATATTATTAATTGATATTTAATATTTATCCTATTTCTAGAATAGTATTCCCTCTATGTATATGAATATTATTATTTATTTATTATAGCATAATTGCTTTAGTTGTTTAATCTGTCCACAATGGATTAAATCACCAATTTATATTTAATGTTATTGTAAAGAGGATTACATTTGAATGTATTACTACAGTCAACTATCAACGATTCAAACCTTAGAGTATTCGAAAACTAACAGTAATTCAAACTTCAAAATAATTTATTATTCCCATAAAAATATTGCCATAATTTAAATAAAAATAATGCATTTAAGTACATTTAGTAATTTTTGGTAAAATTTTAAGGAAAACTTGCCGTCAACACATGACAATTTGAAGTTCAATGTTAATTGCAATTCACTTTGAAACACTTGAACTTATTCACCGAAATGTGTTTCTTATAACTATATTATATCGCTTATAATTTATCAAAAAATTTGTATAGATTTAGCTTATTATTTCCGATAACTAGAGTTATTATTGAAGGTACAAATTTTTTTTTCATAACACAGTAATAAGAATTATTGTTTTTGCCTTCTTGATAGTTTAAACCACTCAGCAATTCAAACCAACTGAATTAACTAGAGTCGACTGTATAACAAATTTATTTTGTATTTTGGAATGCACAATCTTAATTTCAGATAGAGACAGAATAAAAATAAATACTTTACTGCCGAGGAAGTTTTAATCGAACCAATATAAATAATGAAACAATAATGGAAATGAGTTAGGTATAACATCTATAATATACACAATACACAGGTCAACTAGGGGACGGATTACTGCATGCATCACTTCCTGAATCATCATTTTCATCATAACTGTTTTCTAACTCATTTTTGTCATCACCTCCATTTTCAGATGTTGTTTTTTGATCATCTTTAGCCCATTCAATCCTTGGTACTGCACACTTAGGACATAGTTCTAAAGTGCTCGAACATTGATGGCACATTGTGTGGTAAGCTTCTTTGACAGTCTTATTATGACATTTGTTACAGTTCTTGGCTGCTTTCAGCATCTTATATTTTTTGTACTTGATCTTCCATTCCAAAATGTCTTTACACCGAGGGCAAACACTGTGAACTTGTATGGAATTCATACGTTTGGTACGTACATTTGTGTCATGGAGGTTATTTTTAAACGCAAACCGATTTTGATGTTTTTGCGGTCGAATGCGTGCCGCATTTCCTTTCTGGCTGCTCATGGCGTCAACTAGAGTTGAAGAAAAAAGTTAAAACTGGTAAGTACAATGTAGAAATTAGCATAGCTTTACCTTCAATTCAGTTTTGAATAGTCCAATAATTAATATACGTATTTCAGTTATTTCTGACTAGTGACTTCCGTATTTAGTGCTAAATGCAAAACTGGAAACACTCGTGTTATATTATTATAATAAGGTACCAGGTACCATTGAATTGTTGAAAGCACACCGTTGATATTAGATATTAGTTAAACAGTTAACTGATATGGAAACTATAGATAAGCGACTCATTCAAAACAAAAAGCCTCGCGTATTAAGCGCTCTCGGTGTTGTTTTTTCGAACTATAACGCAAAAAAGACGGTCATTAGAAGCTGTTTCGTTGGCATTTGGCAGGATTACATATTATTTACATTGCCCGTTTGGCCGTTTAGCTGTCATTAAAAATTTGATTTATCTAGCACTCATTTTTTTTTTTAAAATGTTTTTTGGAAATATTCGTTCTTCGAAGAATGAATTGATTTTACAATGAAGGTGAGGTTTTTTTTTGGTGTTTGTGAATGAACTTTTTTGGTAGGTACTTAGGTATTTAGGTGAATGCCTCATTCTTCAATATTCAGGGTAGTTTATTGGATTCCGGTAGAAAATGTAATCCATAGTTGGTATTTTGGTACTTTGGGGGGTCAAAAGTAGAAAAGATGAAAATCCAAATTCCTTTCTGAATAATCGATGAAAAGTGAAAACTAACGAAAAAACATCGAAAAATCTTGAATATATATTTCATAATTGTAACTTCGTAAATATTTTTTATTAGGAATAACCACTGTAAAATGTAAATTGTTCGTCACTAATACCTACTTTTAATTCCAGACCCTGAATTATAAAAAATTAAAAATATTTTTAAAATATGATTTACAATTTAAAATAACCAGAGATGTTGCTCTTTTGCCTTGTAGATGTCAGTGTACTCATAAAATTAAAATTTATTTATTGTATTTAGGTAGTGACTAATGAGGAATAATGGACAAATATTTTTGACAAAACTTTGTTTGAATCAATAAATTATTATTATGTATTGCCGTAATGGACATGCTTAAACTGTAAAGTCTTTCTTGTGCCTACATAATTACCTAGTATATAGTAACTATATATAAAAAGTTATTTTTATCTAAAATATTAATTTATTCCTACCTGTTCAATGTTATAGTTCAATAGCGTATGTACGATTTTCCGTCGCGGTTGTAGGTACTTATGATCATTTTCTCCAAACTACAAACTCTATTGCTAGGTAAGTACCATATATTACACAGGTTGATCCGTTTAATGAATTTAATGCATAAGATATGACAAGAATCATCAGTCATCAGGTGTTTCAAAAAATATTAATGTTTTATACTTTTTTTATTAAATTGAATCATTATTTTTTATCGTTATAATTAGTAATTTTTTTACGCTTTTGAACAATACCATTACCATATTACATTTATAATTTCATATTCAGAATAATTTTTAGAGTATTTCAATTCATAAGAATCAAACCTTATTAGTAGTTTTTAGTTTTAAGAAAAAACTTAAGAGGACGCCACAGTGCCACACCCGCATGTATTGTCTCCGTCTTACAAGTGTACAACATTGCAAAAACTGTTTTGCGCGGGACAACTTTTATCGCACCATATTAATTGCTGTAGAACTAACAAATTTTCACAACACGTAAAGAAGAACTTTATGTGTACGACAGCGTGCTTTTTTTTATAAATTTTGGTGTCCAATCATTTTTTATAAGCAAATGAAAAAAACAAAATGTTTAGAAGCAAATAACGTTTATTGTATTTATGTTATATAAAATATAGGCACGCTATAGATGCATAGATAATTTTCTACTCTGTGTTTAAAAATTTTGGAGCCACTACTACAAACATGGAAGGATAAAAGTTGTCCCGCACAAAACAGTTTTTGCTATGTTGTACATTTGTAAGACAAGAGACAACACATGAGGGTTTGACGTCCTCTTAAAGTTTAAATAAGACGAGTTGTGGACTAACATTTTGCGAGGTACCACTGTACCACTCCACTCCATTCAATAATACTTTAGACTTTAAATACTTATAACCAATAAGCTACTTGTAAAAATTCGATTTATATGTAACTAAGTGCTAAAAATATATTATGCTTGGGATTAAGAAATTAAAAATCGGGTAAGTGGCTATCGCTCATCTGCTGAACATTAGGTGCCTTGAAGGTCGCTATAGTGAATGGTATTAAATTTTAATTCAATAATATAATATCATTGTATACGAAAAACGATTCTGAGCGGAGACAGTATGTCTAGATATTTCATACTGTTGTTATTACCTATTATAAATACGGTAGTCGGTAAGTTGAATTGACATTATTCTTAAATTATCAGTGTTGCTGGAAAAATATAATATATTTTTACGTAAAATTGGGCTGTTTTGGAACCGAATTACAACAAAATGACTAAAATTGTTATTCTTTGTGTTACTATGTAATTTCGTCTAAATTTTAACTTAAAATAACTATAAAAAAGCTGCGTGTTTATCCGTTTATTAAAGATTTTTTGGTTACAGAATTAACCGCTTACGTAGAATTTGTTTTTAAATTTTCATTCCTTAGCTATAAATTTGAACATTTAATACTTTTTTAAATACAAAATCATTTTTCAATTTTAAAAATGTTGTCAAACGTGACTATGTATTTTTAATATTTTTAAACCGCTATTGTAACAGTAAATCAAGAGTCTTGTACTCAATTTTCTTGCTTTTTGACCCAGCCAAAAGAATTGTATTGCTATTTATAGGAAGAAAAAAAAACTGAAAATTGATAATGTCCGCAAACAGCACAAAATGAGTCAAAATATTTTGAAAGTTTTATCTAGTATAGTAATTAATAAAATAAACATATTATGGTGTAAATTTCATGTTTTTGAATTACAACAAAATAAGAAAATCGCTACATGAGAAATCTCAAATCGAGAGAATATCCAATGTTGTAAAAATTTCAACTTCAAACGCTCATATAAATTTAACTTAACTTTCCTGTAGATTTTTTTTTTATGAATGTAGGAAAACTTATAAGGAATCTCGTATTAGATTTTAAAAGAAAAATATACATGAATTTCTAACTTAAAATAATTTGTACTTTTACTGCACCAAACCGTGATGGCAGACACAAAAATAAAAAAACACAATCATTGGAAAATCAATACATTCATCGCTCGGCTCAGAATCTTAAATTATTACCATAAAATAGTAGAATAATTTTGTTTATAACGCCTTCAAATAATGTACAAATTATATTTTCAAAATGTTTATTAGTTTATTTGCTATTTTTTAAAATTGAATTTCGTGAAATTATTCTCACCTGTTTAGTACCTTTAGAAGTACATGTTTATTATTTAAGTATGATGTCTAAGACACTGAACACTTGTTGCCTCTGTGCCCTTCCACTCTATAAACAACTTAAATGTGTAGCAGGTTTTGACATAAATCAGTGTTCTGAATTAATATCATCAAACTTTCATAACATGTGAAGGTTAAAATTTACTGATTACATGAAGCACACATATCCGCTGCCATAAACAACATTATTCAATTAGACATCATCTAAAATCTTGACATTGCGTCTAGTATGTTGGATATTTTATTTTAACATGATGCTATAATTTATAGGATGGCTATAATAAGGGCAATTATACTATAAGCATAATTTGTAAATATTGTCAAAAATGTAACAGTATTGCAAGATTAAATTTACTGTCATGTGTTGATAGAACATCGGATTAAAAATGACACGATAAATAATAATAAACTATTTAAAAACAAAAATTTATTCTTTAATTTTTGGTATTTATATTTGACAAAAGTAATATTTTGCTTATTCAAAATGCATTATTTATGTACATAAACACTGTAATTTTAACACATAGAAAGAAAATGTTTAATATTTATCATAACTTTCAATAAATTAAAAAAAAAAATACATCTGTAGAAAATTATTATAATATTTATTATTCTAAATACCCAACTAGAATACTAACAATATCATCATTATCTATTAGTTTGTTTATACCATACACAACTAGTTAAATTATTTTGATTCTAGCCAGTTCTGTTTAAATTTAATTTAGCAAAACCAATAATTGTATTAAGTCAATCATGTCCATTCTCATATTATATATATATATTATTATGGTAACAAAAGGAAAAAAATTATCGTAAACAACAACAAATTGACTAAAAAAATTTGCCACGAAAATTGAATATCCAAAATTCCAAAGACTAAGAAACATAATGGACCCACAAGTCTGTCATGTCAAGTACACTATCACAAATCTAAATAAACACTGCGGCCATATTATTATAGGTACATGTTGAATAATAGCGCTGCCGTGTAAAACGGCTTTAAAAGCGTTATTTCTGAACAAAATATAAGTGTTTCGACAAAACGTTAATTTTAAAAACGAAAAAGAAATGTAGGCCGAAGAGTACATAATATTATAATAATTATTTTGTTTCGAATTTTTAAATTTAACGAAAACGAATGCCCAAGATTAGTAATAAATGCAAGTTTAGAAGTAAAGTATATTTAATGTAAGTTATGTATACATAATATGATGATTATGGCTTTCTCTCGACGTATTCGCAGTGGTGGTGGTGGTTTATATTTTTATCTCCCATAAGTCCCTCGACGACCCTCCCTTGACCCCTCTTAATCGGTTATAGTACAAAATGTATAGGAATCGACTGCACGAGAATGAGCGCCCAACAACCGTCAGTCTTTGATGTTCTGCTGAATCAAGTGCCCTGCAAAGTTGTTTTTGCCGTTCAACTGGTGACTCACCCCGCTGCGTTTGCCCCGTGTCATGTTTCCGAAACACACAGACGAACTGGTGCTGACGCCCGAGTCCGAAGACTTTTCACTGGAAGTACACGAGTTCGGTTTGGCGGCGGTGGCGGCGGCAGGGGTGTTGGCTGTGTCGCCGCCGAAATGTTGACGGTCGTCGGCGGACTTGGATGCCTTTTTACTGTACTCGGGCGACGACAAGGCTGCATCGTTACCGTTGTTGGCCGAGAAACGCGGTTTGGGCGTCGGCTTCGACTTGGCGACGTCAGCACCAGGGACGATCGCGCGCTGACTGTGGGCAGCTTCCTGAGAGTCGTCGCAGCTTGGATCCGTTTTGTTCTCCTCGGTGCTGCTAGAATCGTCTTCGGGCGCTGTCAACCAGACAATAATAATAATAATAATAATAATAATAATAATAATAAAACAATATTATATTAATAAATCTTTAATATACAACAATATCGACGATAAACGTTAATTATCCACTCGATTTGATTGCACGCAGTCGAAAGTATACGTTCGACAGACGGATGAATATTATTACAAACTATAATATTATTAAATTTACTCACACTGATAGTCGTGCATGACCTGGACAGCTGCCAATATTTTCGCTCTCTGTTCCGGCGCCATTATGCCCATGTAGTCCAGGTCCGCTTCGCGTATTTCACAGAACGACTGCAAGTCCCCAAAACCGTTCATCGCGAATACGGACATTTGTTCCTGCACGGGTCGAATAATACATAATATTATATACTATATTATAAATAAGTATATTATACTAATACTACTATTAGTATAAATGTATAATAGTATAATAACAGTATGCCAATGAATACAACATCAAATTCAAATGAATAGATCGATGGAAAAACAACGAAACACTGCACTTGCCTCCATGCCTATTGTCCGCAGGAGCTGAAGCAACGACTTTGGCCTGTGTTTCGCGTTTTGTTTGCTCTTCTCGAGCCCATTGCTTTCGTTCACCAACGGTTGGACTTTGCCGAACTTGAACGTGCCTATTCTATCACAGCCTTTGACCATTCCCTTCCAGATCCCGCTGGCGTTCATGGTGGTTACCAGTATCACATCACCTTTCTAAACGGCAAACCGAAAAAAACGAGTGAGTCATTTTGAAAGACACAAAGGTTTCTACAATCGTCCTTACGTTAAATTTCAATGCGTCTTTGTCATAAGGGTTCGGGCTGCTGTTGGCCACGGCCCGCGCCAATGCCAACACTTGTACTTTCTGCGTCCCATCGCAAGAAGTCGGTGATTCTTCTGAGCTCTGAGACGCTGCTCCCATCAATGCTTGGGCGCCTAAATATACATACAAGCCACAAATATCACATATGTCCTGCGGTGTCGGGTAAGCAAAGTACTCCAAACTAAGAGGTAGCTGAGGTGATAGAAGTCGATAAACACAAGAAGTGAAGTGAGGTAAAAGATAATTTTTATTTTATTTTTTTGTGAAGAGATTTAGATTTTCGAGTGCAATATAGGATTATCTTTTGTTGACAAAAATGTATTTTCTCAAACTTTTTTGGAGTTGTTTAGCAAATACTATAAAGCAGGTATTTGTTAAACTATAATTTGATTGTATAATTAATGTAAAAATTTTCGCGTGCCATGGATTTGCCATCCCTGCTATAGAGTGTTAGATTAGTACTAGATTGAATATTCTACGTATTATATATTTCATATAAGACAATTAGGTGTTGAGGATTATTATCATTGCTACACAAGCTTTAATAACCCAGAAACTATTCATTCAAGTTTTGATTTAGATATAAAAAAACATAACGCGTACTCAATTTACCGTAAAAGTAATTTTAAAAAATACATCTCATTGAAGGATAAAAGGAGAGGGTGAGCATTTTTTTAACCTACCGAGTGTGTGTGTGTGTTTGTTTGCTATAAAAAAAAACTTACTAGAAGTGCTCGGCAGACTCTCGGCTGAACTATGATGACGGTTGGGTCTCTGGTTTTGTTTCATTTGTTTCGAGGACGTTTTGGATCTGTGGTGGTGTTGTCTTTTACTGTGACGCTAAAAAATCGAAAAAACAAAATACGTTTGTATTGTTTTGTTGTTAATTAATTGTATTATTGTACAAAATCGACGACAGCCTGTGGCAACACTTACAGACGATTGCAGAAATGAGTCATCTTGATCGGCGTAGTCCGAACTGTGTCCCGGTGAGACCGCGGTGTCCATTCCCTGTACAAAAACAAAAATAACGAACATTAATCGACGCCGCTAATAATTATTATGCAAATCAACAAGCGCTTACGTTCATCCTGAGCCTGTGGTAAAGTTCCTGGTCGTAGTCCGATCGGTTGGTCTCCACGGATAACGACGACATCCTAGAACTGTATAAGAACGGTACGATGTTTAAATATCGGTAAAATGAATTTTTTCATTAATACATATTATTTCCATCAACGATGTAAGCAGAACGATTTTTAAAATATGTAATTCATTTACGTCAAGGATTTAACTAATAATTTGATATAGTGCGAGCCAAGTCTCGTATTAACTTAACTACATCTCCGTGGTAAATAAATATAAATATATTATATATAATAATAATAATATATGTATTAGTGAACTAAATGTGTAATTTACGTCTGTAAATTGCGATTTTCTAATAGCACAAGACTGTTGAAAACCCGTATTAAATATATTCATGTATGACGGACTTACACAGAGATACTAATTGTGACACAGGACATTAGAGACATAATGTAAATTGTTTTTGCATTTTATTTTGGGCGAATATTTTCTACGATAATTATGACGCGCGTTATGTTCGGGTGAACTAAAAATGGCAGTCTGCTACACCACGCATCGTCGGTTTGACTTTTCCGTACTTGGTAATGTTAAAAAGGTCACAGGATATAATATATTATTATATATACATATAACTGTAGCGAAAAGTCTAAGCACTTTGAAGTTTGAACTTATTGCTTGCTGGGGTTACACGCTAAATGGTGTGGTGTTTGACAGCACGTTAATGATATTTTGGATTTGCGGAACGAAGGTTAAACTTAAGGAGTTTGATAACTTAAACTTCACCAAATTCATAATGAAATAATACAATAATGAACTATGGAAAATGAATGGTCTTACAATGATACATCAAATTTAAATAGTGTACTAAACTTATTTACGTTTATAAGATTATAAATATAACGCGCTATGGATATTTACTAAAAACTTAACTTATCAGAATGAAAAAGAAATTGTTGTACTTTGATGCATAATTTATAACATTAAGAAACAATATAAATCTCTTCTATAAATAATACATAAAATATAACAGAATTTAATATATTTTACAACAATATATTTACTGAATTTATGTACAATATACTGACAGGGCACTTTTCACGTTTAATTTACTGTAGTAATTAATACATTAATAGCGTATACGCTGAATTATCTATAAATAATATTTATACGCCAAAGTACCCTATGCGTACACCTAAATATATGTGACCCCCAGCATCTGGAATACATCGTGACCTTGGAAAATCCAGTTCCTTTGCCCCGGATTGTCAGAAAAAAAGTCGTTAACCTAAACAAATGTTATCCTAGTATTAAAAAACGTCTTTTTTAAAATAAAAGCTCGCATTCCGAATAAATATAAAATTGTAATTAAGTTCGATGATTGTTAAGTAAAATATATAACTATATAGAGCACACTTTATTTAAAAACAAAATACAAATATTTAAAGCCACAATTTTAATTTCCAATGTGTATTATATTCTTAAAATTCCATGTTGATATAATTTATCAAACTGATAAGTTTTTAAAGAATATCGTAATAACGAATAAATTATAGATATAATAAATAATAATGTTTAATCATAAACGAAAATAATCAGTCAACTATCATTAACAACATTTTAGAAATGAGTTAGGTACTATATTACAGTGAACAACTAACATATATTATATACGTAGGTATGAATAACTTTGGGATCAACCAATGTTTTAGTAAAAATCAGATTTATTTTATATTTTATGACCAAAACAATTCATTCTTAAATTGGAGTCTGGCACAAATTTTCGTTCTTTGAACTGTCGTAAGTTATCAGAACTCTCATTACTTTTATTTGAAAATACGACCAATATTAGTTGGCACACACCATTATTCACAATTGTTTTCACTAAAAATAATTATTTTTATAATGGAATAAAAGTATCTTTATCTTCAAACGTTAAAGTTCGTATTAAAAGTTTTTAATATGAACGCAGTATTATACATATACAGTATTTTATGAGTCAAGTTTATAATTCATCTTAAATAATTATAATAATTTTAAGATGAATAATGAAATAAAATACTTTTTATGATAAAAATAAAAGTAGTTATCGGTTTAATAAAAATATTATCTCGGTGACAAATGTATTTCACTTTAAAATGAAATACAAAATTTAACTAAATATTTTCCACGCGTAGTTTAATTGTAACATTATTTATTTCTCGTATGGTTTCAACCAACACTAACAGTACTTATTAAAATTAGTTAATACTATAGCAACAACAACAAATATTACAATAAGAAATATAAAAAATATAGAAAAATATAAAATTTAGATATACAATTTTAACATTAATTTTGAGCTTTAAGTATTTCACTAAATTTAAAACCCTTTATGAATATAGAATAATTAAGTTGAGTTCACCCATATTTGTTATCATAACAGTAATTTGCAATAGGTGATTCGTTGGAAATAAGACGTAGATAATATTTTAGACTTGAAGTTTAACATAACATGTATATTTACCACCAAAAAGTTATTGATCAGTATTTCAATGTACTGATTGTATCAGAGCAGTTAAAAAAAAAATATATATATAAATTGTGATTTATTAAAATTGTTATCCATTGCGCATAAAATATAATACTAACCTTGGCTATCTGAATCGATTTTCAAAAACGTTGATTCATCATTATTAATTCATATAAAATTTGAAATGACATAACACCCATTAAAATGACTATATATACGTATACCCATAAAACAATGTCTACCCAAAATAAAGGACCTGCGCCTGAAGTGTGTTAAGTTTGTTTTTTGCCATCATGATTTAAAATGTTAACAAATAAGTGCTAAAAAACACCGTAGTCTGTAAAAAATACATTTTATCTTAGGACCGGTGACGGCAGAAAATCTCCGGGGACGGAGAGGCACTATAATTCTGTTTAAAAAATTATTTAGGTAGACTAAATATAGATGATACATTATTACGATGTACCTATAGGGTTGGTACATATAATTATAAATTAGAGAACAGTGAGAAGGGGTGCACGGTAGTACATGTCGGAGTGGGTAAATATACATAGGTTCGATATGAATATAGATTGCAGTCTCGTTGTAGGGTAGAAAAAAAACGGGTTTCGCTAATGCTCGGAATTGTCGGCATATTGTCGCACGCAGGCTGCAGTATTACGACTAATTATTGTTGATGATGTTTTCTCTAATGCGCTTTAATAATATTATATACACCACAATATCGCAGCTGTAATGCACCGAGAATTGAAGCTACCGATTTACATATTATATTATTTTTAGGCTCATTCGACATAACACACGAAGCAAGACAATATAACAAAGGTACAGTGGACGCCGCTTATAAGAATCACGGATATAAGTTATTAGACTTATAACTTAAACTTATTAGACTCAAAATTGTCTGAAACAATCCAAATACATTATAAAAAATTCGGTTATAAGACTCGAATTTCGTATAAAAATAAACATTTTTTGTTAAAATTTAGAAATTAATTGGTCTTTATGCTTTATAATGTGTGTATGTACAACAAATTTTATCGCATTTCACATTTTTTGCCATCGTTATTGCAGTGAGAATTATAAATACACTCCCGATTACCTGGCACAGTAATCATAATCGATAAGACCGACGGTATAACTGTGGTACAATGTATAATCGTCAATCGGTTGTCAATGTATTATAATTTTTATTTTTTTATCAAAATTTTTAAATTTATTCAATAATAAATATGTAATATGTAACATTTATTCAAGTTTAATAATTAAAGCAAAATATGTAGAAAAACAAAATCCATAAATATGTAATTAAATTTGTTTTTCTCACTTAGCCTATAAGATTCATTCAATTATAAAACTCACTTTGTGCTGGTCCCAAAGTGAATCTTATAAGACGCGTATGAGCGGCGTCCACTGTACATAGGTAAGTGATCGGAAAACTAATCGACGACATTGCGTATAGAAGCACCGCTGCAGCAGAAGTGGGTTATGTATATGAAATTATCATATTATTGTTGAGTAAAAGCAAACATTTAACTTTTATTGCTGCAAGGTGATGTGATTATTTAAAAGACAAACACTCGTTTTACAGAAAACTACCTACTAACGTTATCGACATTTTTTTTACATACCTAATTTAAAATAATTACTAAGCAAAATTTAACAAAAAAACTAAAAAAATTATTATTTTGAACGAATAGATAATTAGTTGTAACTACCTATTACAAGTATTATATAATGTAAACCAGTGGAGTAAAGTGACACAAGAATACCAATTACCCAGCAAAATAATGGTCCACTACTCCGCTCATGGCTCATCTAAATGTTAGCAACAGAAAAGTAATTAAAAGTAGTCTGCTATGGAATAAAAAATGAAAAATAAACGTTGTCACCATTGAAAAAAAACACTTACAAAATGAACACGATAAAAATCGTAAAAAAATATTGCTTTGCAGTGCAGATAATTAAATTGCGCAAAAATAAATATTACTACTAAAACCAATCCTACTTTTCGAGATATTGTGTTATTATTTATTATACTTTTAAAAGTATCCCCTCCCTCAATATAATATGGACAATTTCTTCGGATCACTATTGGATTTTATCTTGGCGCTCGTGATCGTCATAAATCATGATACATTAAAACGACGTACGTATAAGTATGAGAAGACATAAGACGTTTTACAGAACGTCTATAAGCTGAGAACGTCCGGACGTGTAAGTAAAGTTCGTGTAACGATGTATTTATGAACTATAAAGTGATTAGTGATATATCATAATATATATCTTTCGTGTTGTATTATAGTATAAATTATTATTACCAAACGCTTTGGACGTCAGACGTGGCGTAATCTCCGCTTTCCCTGTTCTGTCGCCTCAACGGTATTATGGTAGTGGGTTGACCGGAACCGGAAGCAGGCAACAAAAGTCCTGTGGCCGTCTGCCGGTGATGACCGCTGCCACCACGATGGTGGTGGCTACCGGACAACGATATATCGCCTGCACTGCGCAACGATATGACGGAACCAGAATTGTTGTTCCGGGGCGCTCTGTGTTTGGTGTAGCCATAATAGACTCTGAAAACGGAGACGTCGGTGAGTCTGGTACAATATTATACACTTACAAGAACTAGTGCAACGGATATATATATAACGTATGAGTTCATATAATTGTCCGAGAGATATCGGAGAAGGGAAAACCTAAAGCCTAAAGACCTCTTTTGTGAGGGCCATTTTAAACTTTTCCGACTCACCCCCACGCTTTGAGTTCTTGTTAAAGGTTCCCAAAGTAAATGATAGGACATCAAGTTCTTCTGGCAAACGGAATATATTATATACCTAATGACTTAATTTATTAACGCAAATCGCAAAGATTTATACTAATCATGGATGAGATAAATAACGATTCTACTCCTCAGGGTTAGGTTAGGTTTCTATAATTGTTGCGCGCTGCGCTATTATTCTATTGAGAAATCGAAATTTTAATAAGAGGTTTCTGTGTTTTTTTATTTTGTGTACCTAAGTATAAACTCCTTATTATAGATATAGAACAGATACGTCGAGAATCTCAAAAATTAAATAGAAATGTTTACCAACAGATATATTTAGTGAAGTTAGTCGAGTTGATTTTTGTCAAATTGTGGTCTTAAATAAATCTAAAAGTTCAAAATTCAACATTCAAATAATATAACCCGCATGACAAAGACGGTGGTCGCACATAAACTTAATCACCCTGTATACATGCAGTGCACGTTCAAACCTGATCACTGGACCATCTCCCAACAAATCGAGTAAAACGTCCTGGAGTCTTACAAAGATTTTCGCCGTTTAATTTATTATACCTGTTATTGGCGTGTTCCATCAGCAACTCCTCAGGGTCCGACTCGTACGGAGGTTCGTCGTACCAGTGTCTGAGCATGTCATCGTCATACATGTAAGTCTCATCCGAGTTGTTACAACGGGCCGTGGGCTTGCCAGGTCCTCCACTGCCGCCTCCACCGCCGTACCGCAATAGCCCATGACGGATTTCCCGAAGGATGTCCTCGTGTTCGCGGTCGAAACGTTCCTTTTTGATCATGGCCTCTTGAACTTTCAACTGTGAATATACACGACAGAGAAAAATTGTTTACATATAGAAAACATTTGCATATATATATTTTATACCAAGTTATTATATTATGTTCGACGGACGGCAGCAGGGTCACGTTTAGCATGTCTGTGACTCCACCGCTAAACGAGCCTCCACCCCAAAACCACGCACCAACCTGTCTACGGACCGTTTTCTACAGCGACATTTATACACTGCCGAGGCAGTTTTCACGCACGTATATCGTTATTATATTATACTGTAATATATTATTATACCTATAGGACATATAGGTACATAATATTTGTACACCTATACGATACCCACACCGTACAGGGGGAAAGAATATTATTTTCGGCTCGCCGTATAACTCGTTCCCCGCCTTATACGAGCGCATAACAAGATTAATGTTACTCCAGACGGCAGTAACGGCCGCCGCCGCACATGACCTTTAATGGGTCCCTACGGGTCGTGAAACGCGAGCGCATTAACACACCACCGTCGCCGAGTGTATGGGCTTCCGCACGAAAACAACACGCGTATACCCATCACGATGGTGTGTTCACGTTATTTTGGGCGGGTGTGTAGGTGTGTGGTGTGTGTGTGTGTGTGTGTTTGCGAATGCAAGAGAGAAAAAAAGGTACGCGAGACCGCAAAAGGCGTGGGCGGTCGAAAAAAGGGGCAAACGTATTATACGTATACATAGGATTTTCTTTCTCTGTCTCTCTCTCTATCGCGTATACACTCGGCGGCGGCGTTGAAAAGTTTTTAATGACTCGCCTCGGCTTCTACCTCGCCCGCGCACCACCTAATCTGACTTTAATGTTGTTTATTAGCGTAGGTATAATACGCGTGTATATATACGTGTTGCCGTCGCCGCCGCCACCACTACGTTTTCGTTCTATTTACGCAATGAATACAATATCGCCAACTAAAACACAGATATTATAATAATATGTGCAAGAGTAGACGATCTCGCGAGTACCGGAATATAATATATTATAAAAGCGGCTGCAGCTGGTATCGGAAGAGGAGGAGGTAGAGGGGAGGTGGGTGAAATGGAGCGAAATCGACTCACGAAAAAAATAATACAAATAAAACGGCACACCTATACTTATAGGTACCTACGCGTACAGAGTTTCTGCAGTGAGTGAGAGAAACTATTTCGATAAAAAAAAATAAAAATAAAAAAACGAGGAAACGCGAAAACCGGAGCTTTGATGTCCGTTGTTTATTATGGGACAGGGTTGTTTTTTTATTATTTCATTCTTTCCAAACGCCCTATGCAGTGATCGGATCTCGGCGGCGATCGGAAATCGTATGCGCTTTATTTTCCCCAAAGTCTCCGGTGTGCCAAACCGTACACTATGTATTTGTGTATGATATATACCTACGGTCTCGTAGATTTAGTCGAAACGCAGGACGAGAAATAATTTGCAGGTGTATAAATGGGCGACTCACCCGCGACCTACGTTTTGGTAGTGTACTTCCGACGGAAAAAAATCGGAAAATGTACGATGTAAAATTATTATTATTTTATACCACCGCAAACATGGTGAAATATATGATGATGTAAATTAATTAAATTATATTTATAACTCCGAAATTGTAGAAAATAAGTACCTATATAGTATATTATACGTGTACGAATAGGTACGAATATTCGGAATGAAAAACTAGTTCGTATATAGTCCACGTTACGAGTTCAAGCATATAAATAATAAATATATAAATATAAATGTTGGTAGCGTAGATATTTAAATGGTTAAAATCATTTTTTTACAAATACCTGCACAAGTTTTCAAACCAATGAGATAAAAATATGTTTTAATAAAGACTAAAAAATAAAAAGGTAATACAATATATGTTTGTTGTGGAAATGTTTGACGAAATCGAGACCCGAAATCGAGTTGGCGGGAAAGCCTCAAATTACAATAAGGGATCATTTATTATTATTTTTTCACTCACCCGATGGATGGTTTCTTCAAAACCAGATGGATTGCCGACATGGTTTCTGCTGGACATAGGCACACAACGATTTCTGTTATCCATCATTGTCATGCCCAAACAATCTGGAGTGTTGGCCTGAAACACGATTAATTGATGTTAAAATTGGTATATTTATTAAGTTACATTTTTTCCACATGATATTATTATAAGATAAGTAAATAGGTAAATATAGTATAATATTGTTGCATACACAAAAAGTGTACCTATGATTGACATAATTGTATCTTATGACATGGCAGTTATACATTATGGCATCACGACATCACACATTAGAGATGATGACAGTGTTTAACTCATTCGTTGACCGTGTAAATAGGTAGTAAAAATAGTAAATCAACACAAATAACTCTAGAATTATATTGCATAACAGTGATTATTATTATTGGACTATATTATAATTTATCATATTTTATTACATATATGTTATAATATATTATAATATGTAGAAACAACACATAAACACATTTAAGTTCTTTATGCAGTGACCATCGCCATCGTCTAATTAATGTTATTATAATTTAATGAGTGAAAAAATACCTAATACTTTTTAAATATTTTTTTTTAAAACCAAAATCTAATAAAACATGTGAACGAGGTAATTTAATTTTAAGTCGATTCCGCTGATTCACCAGAATATTAGTTGTCATTTTTTTAAACTTATTTCAACTATACAATATTAAATCATGTCAATTTAACGCAATTTTAAACTTCGAAGACCTAAATGATCACATATTAATTATTATTAATAAAATGTTCATCATCTATTTAATTATTTATTATTTAATTAAAAAACTTATTAACACAACTAACTAATTTATAATAATTTGAATATAGAAAATTATTAATATTTGAAAATTAGTTATAACAACTTGTGCAATTACATAATATAAAATGCGACTTACTGATTAATTATAAAAAACACAATATAATTAATTTCAGAAAATTCTATTGTTAATAAATAATAAGTCATTCATAATAATTTATTATTTTATAATTGATTTAGAGTGACAAATCATCATTAGGGATTGAAAAAATGCAAATATACTTCAGGTCTGTATAAAAATCAATTAAAACAAGTTCACAAATAATACATTAACAGTACTTAAACTAATATTGAACTTTGTACAAAAGTAAAGTTTTTTGGATTCAAAATGGCGCCTTGCCAAAATGGGTTTAGGACTCGGTGGGGTTCTGTACGATAAGAGCAGTATAATATATGTGTTTATAACGAATCAGATAATGAGATTGTGTCGTAGCATTACAACACTGTTGTATGACATACACTACTGTTGTATGTAAAGCACATTTTGGATAAAAAGTAGACTTAATACTAAAAAAATCGTTTACGAATATATCATAAATAATAAGTCTAAAATAAATCAACACATTTTATGAATATAATATTAAGTACCTATGCGCGTTTCGAACAAAGTAAGATGAGTAAGATTAGTAAGATGTTTGGAAAAATTTCCTAGGAAGTTGTGAAAACCGCATAAATTATAGGTTAATCAAAGTGGTTTTAACTAAATATTACAGGATAATTTTGAATAAAATGGCTGAACATTTATTTTTAAACGTAATAATTATTTATTACTTTACAAATAATGACACACATCCTTGTAGTGATAGATCTAGTTTCAGTATATTGTGTAATATTTATAATGTTTTAGATACATTTATATTTTATTAATTTACTTGTTGTGTAGTGAGAAGAAAAAATAAAATGCTTATTTAAAATTAATAATAAAAAAAAATAAGTAATAATCGAAGTAGGTACCTATCTAAAATTGTTTTGAAATCTAAAATTGAACTAAACACGTATTGTTTAAAGTAAAACTTAAAATAGACACATATGATATTCAAAACACGTTGAATTATATTAAACAAATAAAAAGTGTTCAGAAAACCAACCAGAATACTAATGGAAAAAATAGTTATTTTAAATACGGTCTATAACAGGATTTCACAAATTTAAAAAATAAAACGTCTACATAAAAAATATATTTTTTTCATTTTAATACACATAAAATCAATGAACACCGACAATACACTTTTTAATCGCGTTGTCGTTGTAAATTAAATAATGAATTCGTTACTAAAATTTCTAAAATTCGATAATTTTAATAACACAATATTGAGATATATACAATTATGAGAGAATTATTATATTTGGTCGAATAGGTATTAAAAAACAATAATTATTAATATACGTTTGTTTTAATATGAAAATTACAGCTGTTATCGGTTTAACTTTTTTGTTTTGAAATTTTAAAACTGTTTGAAACTAACAAAAACATGTAGATATTAAAAAGTTATACCCACCCCAACCAATCAGAAGTGGTTTTTAAAAATATGCAGAGAGATATTTTCAATTCCAAACACTTGAATGTAATTGTAGACTGTAAAACACGTATATATTATGCAAATACGCGTACCTTAAACAAATGTCAGTAAAACAACTGAAATATATATTTATATAAATCGGATTCCCAAATAAAACTGTAGGTACCTTAAGACAGAAGTATACAATTTCAGTAAAAATATACAAGAACGGTTTTTAAGGCCACAGTCGAGGTGTACCTAAAATGCTTATTCAAAACTCCGAGCCGTGTCATCAGAATTTGGTTAAAAATATACAATATACAATACATTTATCAAAAATTAGATCAATAAAATTAATATTAAATGTTTAGATCAGTTTTTTTAACTTTTAGTTAAGGTTAATATATTTATTGGGATGTATATATATTTTTTTAAATCTTGAATTGGATTATGAGATGTTTAAAATGTTTCTCACCTTTCCATTTATATAAGTAGCTTAAATCGACAAAATGCAAACAAATCGAGTTTAAAAAAATTAGATTACTATATACTTGTTAGCATAACGATCGTATGACGCCTCGAGAATGTAGTAAATATAACATAGTTATTGTCGAACGATTAGCCTAACATAAACGTATTATAATGATATAATTAGTTGAATTCTATATAATATAGATGAGATGACTATTGTAGCTCTAATATAAAACTAATTATAAGCGCAGTGATTTGTTCTTAAAAGCATTCATAGTAACTTTAAATATTTTATGGAAATGTTTGAATATGAAAAAAATCAGTATAATATGTTGGATAGATATGAAAGAACAAAAATAAATTCAACAGCATATTTATTTGACATCATAAATAATACAAAATACTTGGGAAAAATTACTTAAAAATAAAAATTTACCGGATTAAAAATTTTACATTTTATGGTTAAACGCTTTATAAATCATAATATAATGCTTTTTCTCAGACATTTTCTCCATGACGTGAAAATTAAATCGTAAAATATATCGTTAGAAACACAATAACATCATAAAAACTATGAAGTATGCAACGACAATGTTTATATCTTGCCCCATGGCGATCTGCATCAGCGAAACAAATTTAGAACTCACTTGGGCGTCTCAGTAAAAGTATATAGAACGAATCAAAATTAAGGCATGCAAATCATACAATAAGTCGCGAGCTGCTCTGTAAATACACATACGAATATGTGTAAAAAAGTTAGGTACCATCGACTGTTGTAATACACATAAGTATGTATACATGCTGCCAACTGGGGAAAAGCATAAAAAAAAATTATGCAACCTGTCCACAGGTTGCCTCGGGGGTACTAGTGCGCACGATGTGTAAAATATATTTTATGTATATGTGTGTGTGTGTGTGTGTGTGTGTGTGTGTGTGTGTGTGTGTGTGTGTGTGTGTGTGTGTGTGTGTATGTGTGTGTTAGTCTGTGTATACACCCATATAAAATAATGCGTTAGTGTACTGGCAAAAAACGACGAGCGCTAGTTGGAATTCGACCGAGAGATGGAAAATTTGAGGGTTCGTGCCAAACGTTCGGTAACTTCAACCCCTCCACCGACGGCACTAATACTCATACACTATATTACATACAGTGATTCGGTGTGTGTGGGAAGGGATGGAATGTAATCTGAAATAGGGGTGTGTGTATGTGTATTTGTGTGTATGTGTCATGTGTGCGCTCACTCACGCTAGTGTGGATGTAAGGCCAACAGACGACGCGAGAAGATTCAGGGGGAATTTTGGTGATTTCTCGCCTAAGTCGAGCGGGAAACGATCCGCGGACAAGGAAAATGTATATAATAAATATACCAAACATACTACTCCACACCTAATCCAAAAACGTCGATCCGACACGGCGGCTTAGAAAACCAAGACTTCAATAGCATAAGGCACAAGTGGTGTTTTTTCTTAGTGCTCTGTATGAGCAGCATGTCTCATACGCTATAACACATTTTCGGCTAATGTTAAATTATTTAATTGTTTTTTTATTATTTCAAGTATGTTGCTTATTACATTAACCTAATAATTAATTTTGAGAAAAATCTTACAACTGCAGTTTATAAGTTTTTATTTTACTTTTTATATTTTACTCTGAATGACAACTCCCATAAAGTATTTTTTTCTTCAAATTAGTATAAAATTCAAAATGATCTCAAACATACCCATAAGATATGTATTTATACAAAAATATAAGCTCAATGCGTACAAATTAATATAAGAGTTGAGTTTTCGAGAATCGTATTTTTTTTAACCATGTGGTCGTGAAACGGCGCCTGCTGCTACTTGGATGACAAAAACATAAAGGAGTTTTTTGTATATTAAAAAGTATTTTCGATTAAAATGCGTATAAAGAAAAAAACCTAAATGTTTATATTCATGAGTTTTTATATTATAATCCATATGCATTGTACAGTTTTCGGAGGATAGGATAGAGAAAAATCGAAAGCTGCTAGTTCGGCGGTGAATGACTGGAGAGGACGAGTGGTGGAGTGGTGGAGTGGTGTCATGTCGGTCTCTAAGGTCATAGAAATTACACATAGAAATCCACTGGTGGTCGGAATGTGTACGTTCTCTGACGCGGAGTTCCGGTATGGCGGTATATACAAACAACCGAAAAGTACAACGACGACGATTCGGACGGGCACAAAATATAACGATACATCATATAACATACATGGACGATTAGGGATTTTTGAAGTGCACCCGTTAAGTCGTTGTCTCAAATACAGTGCGCAGTCAGCATTGACTGAGACGGAGCATCTATTAGGCTGTCGAATAAAACAAACCCATTATGCCATTTATACAGAGTGGTTATTTTTTGTGAACGGAAAATAAATTGGACTGTATGATTTTTATAGAAAACGTTTAAGGTTTTTTTTAAATTCGTTTAAAAATTCTATAGCGATGTTCTGTTGCACGCGCAGTGAAAGAAAAATTATAATGAAAACAAAAAAGAAGGCCGGTTCACATATTACCAGATCCAATAGTGGCAGGTCTACCATTGGTCAGTTTGGATTTTGCACCATAATTACGTCAATACTAATTAATATTAAATTATTATAATACATACAGTTATAAATTATCTAACTATATAAACGCGAAACTACTTTCTTTGTTACAGCTTATCTCAGAAACGGCAAAACCGATTTGGCTGTTTTTTTTTATGTTGTGTTTGTAATTGTCAGGGCAGGGTTTATAGTTTTATACGAAAGATAATTTCAGGAAAATCCACCAGAAATGTAGGACATCTGGATGTCAAGAATACAACAGTGGTACCTACGGTTCAGAAAAAAAAAACTAATTTTTGTTTATTTTAAGATTGGTATTGGTTATTACGACTCAATATCACTTTAGGTCTGTATTTTATATTTGATCAAACCCATATAACTTAGTACAAAATATGGTATACCTAACGCTTAATTTTTCGAACATTTCCCGGGAACCTACATACACATCATAAGCACCGTGGCACGCGTGTTAATAAAACATTCGTAATTATTTACGCACCTCAAAGGGTCTACTACCTGTAAATATATACAGTTCACATAATCACAAGCGTGTATCACTGGAACGGGATAGTTATAATAAATATAATATAATCGAACGTGTCCTACTATCCTGACTGACCGATTAAGATTTTTTAAGTTTTGAACACAATTACAACGAGTATTAAACAACGAAACAAAGTTTAGATCATACCGAGTTAGCATTTTTAACAGGAGACAAATCCTCGATACGAGCAACGCCGGGTGGGACACCAATAAATAAATAATTTTCATTGTTAAATTTATGTGTATACAACTAATTTACACACTAATATACTCGTTTTTAATATTCTCCAATATTTAAATAAATAGTTCACTAATTTCTTATTTCGTTACATTTTCATTAAATAGATGAAAAACCTAAGCTTAAAACCAATTTATGTACATATTATGCATACCTACCTATATGTTCAATATTATAATGAGTTCTATATTAACTATCGTTATACTTTTGTAGACTAGGTATTTATAATAGTACTACATAAAAAATATTAAGACTTTTAAACCATAAATTGTAATAAACTGTACATTTGTAATAAATTATTATATTTTATTACATACTACAATATTATAAATTCTACACAGTTCTTGAGTTACCCATGTCACATTGACTACTCGTCAATCAGACTTATCTCTGAAGGACGTACGCGTACCCGCTCGACGCAGCAAACGCTGCCTTCACAAAAAAGCTCCCTTTGCGATCATTTCAGTCAAAGTATCTGCAGTCCGTTCACCGTACCTCCAAAACGAACACGTTTCCCAACCGTTGCACGGCGACCACCGACATTACCTCCATCGCATGTGCATGAATACAACTTCAATAAACGTAAATAATACCGTAACAACCTAGAGTATTCATTTACCGTTTTTCTTAGCGGCGGTGCAATCACACAGTTGGGGTATATACTAAACCGCTACAATATCTGCAACGACGCTATTATCTACTTTCTACCTACCTCTCTCGATAAACATAATATTATGATCGGAATATCGGGTTCGGGTACACATTTGGCATTTCAACCGATTATGTAATATTTTAATAAAATTCAACATTAAATTGTTACTATATTGTCTGTTACAAACAATAATATGGTTTAGTTTGCAAAGAATATATCCTTACTTTCTTAACACATTTTTTATCAATTCAATACAACATAATAATATTCATAAATTAATTCAAATGTATCGTGGGACCAGCACTCTCGTAATTTTTTTGTTTTTGTCTCATTTTATTTTTTTATTTTTTTTTTAGGGGGGGCATTTGAAAACTTTTTTTTTTGATTTTTAAGGTTTCTGCAGATTTAAGTATACCCTTAAGGTATTTCGTTCAAAAAACTCAAAACTTCACAGAAAAATTGATGCGTAGTTTTACGTTAAAAATATCACCCTGTATTTATAGGCTACAGTGCATCGTATGTGTTCTTTTATATATTACATATTTCTTTTCGTATTAAATCTGTTCGGGTGTGAGATGTCATAGCGGCATAGCGCAGATACGAACAAGAACCCGGTGTCGGATCACCGGTTACCGCCAGTGAGTCGTGACCTCGGAGAATCAAATTCGGGCAACGACTTGTATATACGTTGAATATAATAATATATACCTATACTAATGCTTTATATACCTATACAGTATGCACACACCTACGTCATACTATACATATACAAGCACCGGAAATGTAGGTTATGGGCTACTGCCGTAGTTTATATATGTATATATGTATATTGTATATACACGAGATATCATAAAAAAACCTATATATTTATATAATACTGACAATACGTACGTACGTTGTAGGTGAAAAATATAAACATACAAACAAGTCATATATACATATATATTATATAAAATATATATGTGTGTGTGTGTGACGTGTATATATGTATATGTTATATACAATATACATGTACTTTGGCGAATTTGATTGTAGAACATCCGCGACGACATCAAGGTGTGTATATACTGTATAGTGAAAATAGGAAATCTCGAGGGATTTATTTATTTATTTTTACATCCAATCCTCCTCTCCCCTTTTACTTTGACTAAATCCGGCGCCGGTCCCTATATACTGATTGGCATGCAAATATGTAGAAATCCTCGAATCGGTATTCCACTGACACATCGTCGCCGTCACCAGGGTACACATACACGACCCACACGACCTACCCGCCGCAGGTACTCATATAATAATATTACGTGTTATCATAAAACAACATAAGACGATTAAATATTTATCAGAAGCAATCCGGAAAATATATATTCGGCTGGCATATAATATAATGTTAGAAATAACATCGTCTATACTGTTTCCTGTATGGTGTATAGACAATACTGCAGCATATTCTTAATTTACAATTTAATTGGACTTACAAATTTTATTATAATATCTACTTGTTGACTTACTTTTGCCAATTGGATTATAGCGTGATGTTATCGCCAAATAAAGCAAATTTTTGTTTGTTTAATATTGAACGACGGGACGAGGATAAAACAACCAATTATTATTCGTGCAAAATATAAGTAAAATACCGAAATTCCATCGGGTTCGTAAATATAAAGAGATATTAAGTAGGTACGTATACACACTGCAATGGTTATTCGAGATCATATTTTATCCTTCAAAAACCACTATTACGCTTTTAGGGGACGCAATAAAAATATAATCTGGTGAAAAGTTACTTATTTATTAAAACAATAACCAACATTTAACTGATTTTTAAAATTAAATTTTCTTAGTTTTAATCTATTTTTCAATGACTTTTTATGATAATTTAAAAGTTTAATTTTATTAATAATAACTATTATAGTAAGATAAATTAAATAATAGTCAATGACAAATAAAAAAAGTTATTATATAAGTAAAACTAGTTTTATATTATATGCGCCTATTCGTAGATTAAAAATGTAGGTAATACATCATAGGAGAACAAATAGTTTTTATAATTAATCGTAAAAACAGAATTTTATTGCCACAGAAATTAGTATAAATAAATATAAGAACCGAACATAGATCATTACACCGGTAAGCTGCTTCCACGATGTAAATTAATAAAAGGGGATTGATTTTCTACGGAAATGTCGTCGACGATTTTTGCGTGATTGCCACCGTCTTGCCGCTATTTCTGTATGTACCAGCTATAGCCGCTAGTATATTATATACCTTCACCGAAATGTCGTATTTGAAATATAAAATGAAAACGTAACAGACATTTTCGGGTCAACAGCCACGATGAAAAAAAAGAAAGAGACGGATCAATAAAATTTAAAAAAAAAAACGAGAGACGAGAAAAAAATTACTAGGGCACAATATAATAATATATATAATATACATATAAAAATGCATATATAAAAAGATACTTAACCGAACGATTTTATAGTACCTTAAATTTTTTTAGTTATATATCAGTCTCGAGTATATATGGCGGTTACCATAGTTACTTGTGAGATTTGGTGAAGAGGGAGGGGGGGGTCTCATAAGCGTTCCATTGGAATGTTTTTTTTGAACGTATAGGAATTAATTATGCCATTTGATTTAGTAAAAAAAGGAGGTCAAACCGTTCTCTCCTTGTTTGAAACGTTAATTAACGATTAATGAGGAAACTACCACCTATAATATCACCAAACCACACCGAATACACGGACGAGTGGATAGCCGCTACCATCTCGCGCATAAAAGCTTTAGAAACAGCTGCGCGTTATTTTATCCACACACATACATATGCAGACTCGTAGTTTGTGTGTGTGTGTGTGTGTGTGTGTGTGTGTGTTGATTACAGTAGTGTGTGTGTTGATTACAGTATTTCCGCCGACAGTAGTTAACACAAAGTGCACACCCGGACCACTACTCTCGCGCGCATTGCAAACAGCAAAATAGTTCGTATCATCCTTACCCGGGCTGAAACGTTTTGTTGACTTCGCGATTTATCTCTCCTGTGGGTCTTGAAGTTCCGCAGAAACCGCGTCAATGTGATCTTCTTTTTGCCGGGTCGGTCTGTAAAACAAATTACAGAAATAATCACATTATTTAAAACATGTAGTTTTTAAACTTTATTACTACTATAGATCCATGTTCATCATTTATGTTTGCACAAGACACAAACCTCGACTTAATGAATTTGTAACCTTTGACAAGATATTATTTTGGTATTTTGAATTTTACAATTATTTTAGGGACAGAGCACACTGACGCAAAGGAAATATAGGAATAAATCAACGAGGGTAAGGTGTGCTCGGGTTGACGCACGAACCTGCCTGCCGAACATAACATCGACACGTTTGCCACAAATATGCCGAAACCTTTGGAAAACGAACCCCATTTTCGAGCATACACTATATCGTCTATCTCACTTCAATCCCCCCTCACCCCACCGATAGCGATTCAAATCCTCCACAACCAGGTTTCCTCCCCCGGGATCCCGTCTAATTTCCATTTAAATTTTATCCCGGGCTCACTGAATGAAATCCATTTTGGCCTTGGGAAAACCACGAAATTGCTGAGTTTCCCTGGTCCAAAAAAAAGGGTGGAAGCGAGCAGAAAGATAGAAACAGAAGAGAAAGAGTGAAAGAGAAAAAAGGTCTTTCATCTCTCTCACTCTTTGGTTTCGTAGGGTCCCAACTTTCCACCACCGTCATTGCCTCATGTAAAGAAGATGGAAATTCTTATTTTAATATCGTTTCTGTTAAGTGTACCGAATAAACGAGCTTTGGAATGGAGTGGAAGGACCTTTTTCATTTTTAATTAACTCACCGTACAAAATAAAAATAAATAATAAGAAATAAAAATACAGAAAGTCATCTACAGTTATAATACTATTATCGTGAACGAATGGATATTTATTTGTTATTATTTTTTAATATATGGATATGAATATAATTTCTTGAAATTACTCTCCGTCAAGCGATTACTATTTTGTAACGCAAATCATTAATATTGACTACGGGTTAAGTAAATAAAAGTACGTTTATTTACCAGCAGGAGGAAACTCGTAGAAATACGCAGATCTTGGACTCAAGCACCTGAAACATATAATATTATGCATAATAAGTAATAATAAATAACTTCATAGGTATGCATGAAACAATTAAAAAAATTATTCAAATTTATCTACGCATATGAAAATACGGTCAAAAATTATTATCAAGACACGGGACTATAAATACCATCAAAAACACTTTCAATTTTTTTCTAATATTAGTTGAAGAACTGTAGTTAGTTTTCTAATAAAATAATATACCAATATTTTCATTCTACATAAATATTATAAACAGTAATAAGTAATAACCATAAAAGAGGATTGTTGAAAAATATTTCTTAACAGAAAAATATTTTTTTAAATATATAATAAATAATAAATAATAAAAATAAGAAGATAATTTTATGAAGAGTGTCATATGCTTTTTTTGAATGTTGTATATTTTACACTTGACCATTTTGCACCTAAAAGAGTCTTGTCATTTAAGTGATATTTGAGTATCACTATATGCCATATATTTTCATAAAGATACGGGGTGAATTTTTTATCATTAAACACTCATTATTTCCAAAATATATAAATGTTTTTGAAAAAAAAAATGTACATAGTTTCTAGAAGTTAAAAGCAACATTTTTATTGATATATATAATATATAATATATATTTTAATATTTTTTATCCTTGACATTTTTTATTTCATATTCTAAAGCAGGTTATTACTTTTAGTATTTTAATACATAAAAATTGAATTTAGGGCAGGTAGTTTATGAATTATAGTATTTAAAATTTTGATGAGCGGAGTGGTGAGGTACGCGATTACCCTCTCAAATGTTGATCCACTATTCCGCCCATTTAAACTTAAAATATTTAATCATAAGCTACTCATCCTAAATTCGATTTTTGTACACAAAAATACTCGAAAAAATATTTTTGCTATTGAAGATCAAATTAAAACTGTATGTTGTAATTAAAAAAAGTAAAAAATTAAACAAATTATAAGGAAAAATAATATTTCCAAACATATTTTTTTAATGAAAACGTTGTTTTGTAACGATTTGGAACCTTGTAAAAAAAGTATTTTCAAAAAACCAATACTTTTTTAGTTATGAGTAATGAGTATTCTACGTTAAATAAATCACCCGGTATTGTGTAATTACTCAAATATTTTTCCGAATCCATAAGTAAATTTGTCAGTTTATTATTGAATTTTGTTTTAAATAAATTACATATTATAATTGAATTTATTCAGCTATACTATTTACTCTATGATTTTTTTTAATGTATAATTTTGAAATCTAATACATGAATTATTATGTTTATATACGTTTTGAATGGTATAAAACGTATTATACAAAAAATAAAAATAATAATTATATATACTATAATAATTTGACTTCAACGAACAATAAATACAATTATTATATAACGGTATAATACAATTTACGAATGAATACAATGATTTTATAGTCGTTGATAATTATTTCATATTCGACTAAATTATACAATTATAGGCATCAATAATATATTAATATACTGATTAAATTGTACACCAAACAATGATTAAGTTTTATGAAAGCGTACTGACATACAATATATTGTAATTGAATAATGAATTTAATTTAAATGGAAAGTATACTAAAAAAGAAATATTAAAAATCACTCTATGTTTGCGAACATCAAATTTAACTTTGAGACTAAGCGAGTGTTCCGGGAGATATGGGATAAGATTCCTCTGGGATGGCAGCTAAGAACGATAATAAAAGTTGTAATGCCTTCGTTCAAAAGAAACAATAATGATAATAATAAATATATAAAATATAAGAATGAAAATGATTTATGACAAGTAATAAATTATACATGATCATTACAAGGTCTTATTTATTATGTAATCGAAACTTAATGTATAACGTAGCTAAGAAGCTGCAGCAGTAGCCAAGAACACCACAGCAAAATGTTTGATGTTCACTGTGTAAAATAATATATATGATAATAAAACGAGATTTCTAGACTGTAAATAATTAAACAGATTAAAGGCACGTATTATACATAATGTATTCTATCCGTCCACGATCAGACAACCTTATATATGCGTTATACACACAAAGATATAATAATATACGACATGAACAAAATACTAGATGGCTGTTAACTGATTAAAAAACATAATAAACAACGACGATACGACCTATTTAAGAACAGAGATGAACATACATTTTTAAATTGAATTAAACTATAAACAAATGCATATTGTACCTACTGTACCTATACATACAACGCATTTTAAGCGATTTTTATGGTTCACTGTTAATAATGCAAATAAAAATAACAGATTCAAGTAAAAACGGTTTTGTATTTTTCATCCGCAAGACTACATCAGATTTATATTATAAATCCGTTATAAGCCTCGAGTACTTAAGTACGCGAGCACATAATCTAACTCGCGAGTTCTAAAAAAAATATACATATATTATATGTTATGTTATAGTACGAACAACACAAAAAGTGCAATATTTGAAGGTGTACCTACACCTACCTCAAAGATGTGCATACTATACCTATACAATGTTTATGTATAATATACATATGTTATAATATGGCTTGCACTTACATATTTGAAACCCACATTCTTAGTCCCATTTCACCTTGGTAACAGTAGCAGTGATTTGGGCAATTTCTATTGTAAATTCCTGCCGACACACACACACACACACACACACACACACACACACACACACACACACACACACATACTTTTGGTCGCATATTTTCGACAGCATACCGCCACCATTATGGTTTAGCGGGGAAAACCGCAGAACGCGTAGAGTCCGGTCAACACCCGAATCGTAAGCTCGACATTTCCCGAGGCGCCGGCGGGACCATGGATCTAACGCGATAAAATGTTGATACATTATTATTTTAGCACAACTTCGTAAAATTGTGTTACCCCTCAGGGGAAAAAAGAAAAATATTCCGATCAATAAAAATGGTGGCAATCGCACTCCGTAGCTGGCATATACGCACAATATAATATTGTATTCCGCCGCGGACGATACATTTTGAAGAAACAAGAAAGAATCTCCATAACCAGCTCAGCGCAACGAGATCGGATTAAGCCGGGAAGTGGTATACTACACTATACACATTATATTATAATACAATATTATTATTATTATTATTATTAAGCGCGGACGACGGATGTGGGTTATACGGCAGTATTCCTATACGACGGGTTGTCGCGTAGATGAACGGCCGCGTTTTGACGTCAGTGGGGTGGTAGCGATTTTTTAATATTATATTATTTCACGGACTCACAGTTCACCGTTCTGTTTTCGTTGGGTGGGAGACGTTATTAAATATTATAACCTAACCTTTGAATGTACATACGACGGAGAGACCAGACCGCGCACAAAGAACTGAATGTCCACTCTCCGGTTTAAGTAGCTATAAGTTATTATAATAATAATAATAGATGACAATAATAATAATAATCGTAATAAACGAACGTATACAACTACATGCGCGCCGACGAGAATTGAATGCATGTCCGGCGCCGCAGTGGTGCGGAGTACAGAAAGTCGTGTATACATATATTATAATTATAATAATATAGTTTTACTGCACCGGCAGCAGAATCGCATGCGGGAAACACTCTTCGTTTATTTTAATTTGGAGATCCCTTTTGCCCGGCGGTCGTAAACCACCGCCACTGCTGATAGGAGAGAGAGTTTGGGACGAATCCGGCTGGTCGTAACACATCGGTGGCATGGAGGAATGTTTGTGGGACGGGGCGAGGTGGGAATATTAAAAATAAAAAAAGTCATCCGATTAAAATATACGAGCTAATTTTACAGCGGTTTAATTTTGCAGGACAAATTATAATTAATAAAAGTGTTTGCGCGATCGCGAATCGCATGATCACGTCAAATCCGAGCGAGCGTACATATTATAATATATAAGTATACCAACCCAGAACCCATAATACCAGCTATACATATAGACACACATAAATATAGTATTGTTTTAATGGCATACCTTGCAGAATCACGGCAAGCTATAATTATTACTATTTCTCACAGAGTTAATCGACGTGCATTGCCACGATAAATGTATATCAATATACGGCTGCATGGTTTTGAGTATAATAATATTATAAGTAATACATACTTGCGACGGATGTAAGCGATTAAAACGTACACCCGAAGTCAATATAATATTAGGTAAGTAAGAAGTACAAGAGTTGTTCAGATGACAGACTAAATTTTTTACATAATACACGCGAGTTCGAATATGTATGCATGGACACAGCACGCGTACTACAAGGTTTCGACCAATCAATTCGTTAGAGTATCGCCAGAAAGGTTAATCGATATTTTCTTAGCGGGGATTATTAATATTTAATGAGCGCTATATATATATAAACACACGAACGCACATAATATATTATATACATATATACACACACACTGGAGTCACAACACTATACACATGTATAAATATAACAAAACCCTGTTTCCATTACTCTTTGTTCTTTTATATTTTAGTTTAGTTTAGAATGTACGATGTATTAATATTTATTGTAGTCTACCTGACAAATTATATTTAATAAATAAAATCTGATTTATGGTAACTGTGTACGAAATAATAATATACGAGAACAGAGTACATAAAACGAAAGTAATAATAATATAGGTCAACAAAAAATTTGGTTACATAAAGCTTTTTTTCATTTTAAAAAAGGTGGTAACTTTTTTTTATGGCAGATTAATAATACTATTTAATAATCGTAACTACTCTATAAGGTTTTGATTGACAGAACGTATTATATCAAAGCGTAGCGTGAAGAAATTCGCAAGAGTTATTTTAGATATTGTTTTAGATATTTAGTAATAACATTAATATTAAAAAATAATTACCGTTTACCTAACCGTTTACAAATAATTATATTTGCAATAATAAACAATCAAAAAGGAATGTATCAATTCACTCGGTGTCATTAACATTAGTCTAAAGTACTATATATGGTAAACAAGTATAATACAGTGAT